AAAAAAAAAAAAAATCTTCCTGGGAGTCTACATCCATTTGTTCATTTGCTCTGAATCTCTTTTCATTTTTCAAATAGGAGACGGTTCGATCACCCTCATATTCAGGTGTTTCCTTTCCATGGATGCATTAATATATCTCTCTGTTATACTAGCAGTCATCCTGTGCACTTAACTGGCTAATAAACTTTGATTCAATGAGCTGTACAAGTTCCCCTCCATTTCCTCTGGCTTCTTGCATTTCTCCCTGAAGAATGCCTTCTCTCACTGGTCTTAATGCTCTCTATTTTTTTTTTTTGTGTGTGTGAAAACCATACATGATACAAACCTCTGAATAGGCTGATTGTAGCTGATTACTGGTTTTTGATTGAGACCAGATGTGATGGCAGTTAACTGCTGAAGGGTGAGAAGGTAGCTTATTTCCAACATCTTCTTAAGTAACCTTAAAAATAGTGACCTTCAATCCACGCCTGTCATCCAAAACAGTAGAACAGAACTGTTTTCAAATACTGTGATTGTGATTTGAAAGTCTTACATTTTTGTCTCTGTCAAAGTCTAAATCTCCAAGGACCCGTGGATCTTGAGCCCAGCCGATGAAAGCAGTGGAACTGACCGTTTATTATTTTAGCTAATAAAAGAGGATATTGTATATTAGCTTTTTCACATTCCAAGGCACTAGCAACAGAATGAAGGTTAAAGGCGTCTGATATTCACAATTAAAGAATAGAGTCTTTGTTTTTAGCACAGTGTGCAGCTGAGACAGAAGGGATTGGCCAGGAAATGAAAACCAGGTGGCTTGAGTTTGAATTTAAGACCAAAGGAATGACCTTCCAAAAAGGCTACTTCCTCCTTTAATACAAATAAGTACATACAAAATAATTTAATTATTCCCGACATTTGTTTGCAGATGTTTCTGTGAATGTATCTGTTCATGTTTCCACAGAACGAACATGGTGATGAACACATTTGTCTTTAAAACCCTGCTGAAACACAGCCAGAAATTTCTGTAACGCTCTACCCTTGGTTAATTTTGACAAGATTGTAAGGTACGTAATACCCAGTGAGAGCAGGCAGAAACTTTTGTAGTGTACGCTGTAGTATGTATTAGGCATTCAGCCGCATACAAATATTACTGTTAAATGTTGCAATACTATTCTTACATGATACTTGCATGATAGTAACAATCTTGTGTCAGTATCTTTAAAAAAACTTATAGTCATGATAAACTTAAGGCATCTGTAGAATAAAATGACAAAATAAATTACCATTTAACACAATTACCATTTTTCAGATACAGCTTTCATTTAAAGCTTAGAAAACTCGAGATAAAACACTTTGCAAATAAGCTAATTTTTGTTCCTTTCTTCAAAGCAGTAAACACATCTTTGCAGTGACAAGCTATAGTGATGTTTTGTTACTAAGTTGGCAATACGACCAAAATTGCTGTTAAAGCTCTGCAAAGCTCTCTGTTGTACCCGCTGCCTCCTGCAGTGACGGGACCCATGGCCAGCGTGGCTGTCGGCCCTGGAGACGAGGCTCCCCGGCGCGCGCTGCCCCAGCGTGGGGCTGGTGCTGGCAGCCGGGCCCCGCGTCTCCCCTGCTGTTCACAGCCGCGACTGGAGAAGCGCTTTCGGGCGGCAGCTGAGGAGCTTCTTGACGGACTCCGCAGCATCCTCCAAGTAACCGCCCTTCCTGCTTCGTATCTAAATTAAAGCTAAAGGCGCTTGTTGATCCCTTTTGCCTGTGCAGGCTAACACACTGTTAAACGCATGTTCCAAAACTTGTTGGAATTAAGGCAAAATGTACTTTTTCTCAGCGACTTGATTCAAAGCGTAGTTAATCTTAAGTAGTGTATTTCCAAGAAAAGTTTCCCTTGTCTGCACATATACTGTGCTGCAGTATGTATGGTTGGGAATCGGCTACCAGCCGCACGGGTGTTGTACGATAGCCCTGGGGCAGCAGCTGGCAAAGAGTCCCACAAGAAACGCAGCCTTATTTTTGCTCAGCTTTTGGTTGACTATACTTGGGTATTCTGCGGAAGGTGCCAGTGAGCTGAGAAACAAGTCTATCTTTGACCAAAATGCTTCTTTGCTAGTCATTACCATCCTGTGTCTGTTTGGATTTTGTTGTTTTGTAAGATTTCAGTGAAATGTTCCTGCAAAGTTCACCCACAAGAGTGTATTATATGCATAGGACAGCATTTGGAAATAATTTACACAATATTTATAGGAATAGTTAGAATTAGTAATCGCATAAGCCTTCGTAAAGATCTTTCCCTGAACCACTGTCTGAAGGTGGGAGAATAGCTCCTCAACGTGAATACTTCCTTAGTTGCCCATGTGCAATTCAGAAACACGTGTACGCTCCTGAGGTACAGCTTGCTTTTTCTCCTACTGCCAGTTTTTCTTTCTGTCTTTTGCTAATTCTTTGTGTTGAGGTAGCTCTTGGGTGTTACAGCCACCGGGGATGGGCCCACAGTACAAACTTGTTGGAGCTGTTATGTTTTAGCAGGTCGGTTATTCTGCTGGTGTTAATTAACGTTTCAAGTCTGCTGCTCCTGACGGACGGCTTGTCAGCTGCCAGCTCTGCATCCTTCACGATGGTGCACTGCCATTGTGTAACACAGTCCTCTGCCCTTCAAAATCTTATTTTGGATGTGCGTTTCTTTCCCAGTCCTGGGATTCTTAATCTTCATTCTTCGCCCAGCGTAGCAAAACCAGCTGAACTGCTCCTATACAGTGGGTCTCCGTAGTCACAGTAGTAGTCTGGGACGTGCACTCTACTGCAGCGGAAAAAATTCTCTTCCATTTTAGCTCTTATCGCTAGTTGTTTGGGTTGTGCCCGTTTTGACTGGATTATTCTTAATCACTGTCTCGGCAAGAGGTGTAAGGCTTTCTTCTCTTGCGTCGGAGACCTCCAGCAAGGGGCTGTGCGGGATGCTGCTGCGATACAGACACCTGCCCTCTGGCAGTCGTGGTGAGGCTTCCTGCGCAGCTCAGCTGTCAGAGAACTTCCTGACACATCTGTTAAAGGTTTTTTACCTCTTTTCTTGCTTCCTTCGGATTTTTTGGGGCTTCCCTGCTTCCGAGTTTTGCCATTACAGATTGTATTTTTTCCCCCATAGGAATTAACATGCATCTGACTGTAATGCCTCTGCTACCATTGTTTGTCGCTTGCAAATCATCTTACTGTAAACACAGGTGTTTTTTATTTATTTCCCCTATTTCAGGACCATGTGCTCTTTTGATAACCAAAAGTTCTGGCACCGGACACCTCTCCCTTTCTCTCTTAACACCCCAGTAGATGAGCAGTTAGTTTTAACTTTTTATTTCACACATTTTTTTTAATCTGTTCAATTCTTACATTGTTTTACTCATACAGCTTTTCCTTTTTTCTGGGTCTATACTATAAACCTGGATCACTTTTTTTAATCATCTCCCATCTGATTTATATGGCTTAAAAACAAAACAAACTCACTCGTGGACAAAACAAGGTAGTAATCCTGGACTTTGCTTGAAGTACCAGCTTATCAGTATGCTTACCTTAGGTGCTTTCTCGTTTATCCTAGAATATATTTCCTTTTGCAGTTGATACTTTCCTTCCATCATTTTACATCACGCACCTTGAGTGTTGCCCTGTCAAAAGCTGTTTGATATACCCTCTTGAAATCGGGGAAAGTCTAGGCGCAAATAGAAGGAGCGACGCATAATGATTAAAGCACGGTAGTGGATACTGAGACTTCTGGTTGTGCCACGGGGTTTGAGCAGTGACTCCGTTGCTAGACTTTCCAGTACAACAGAAATTGTGATGTTCAGTATCAGTTCACTGAAACCAGTCTGAGGGGAGTTAAAGCAACCTTGCAGTGAATTACAGGACGGTAGTTACCTTCGTCCAAGGGCGGCTGCTGTGAGTAGGAGAGGCAGGGAGGGGATAAAGCACTGATCTCCAAAAGAGGAGAGGAGGGAAAAGGATTTGGCATGCAAATTATTATTTTTATCTGCTATTCTCTTGTGCTTTATCCGTGCATGCACTGCATGCAGTTACTTTGTGAAGTTCTCTGTTCTGTTTCAACCACCAGGCCTCTCTGCGGGGTGGCACTTTCAATGCAAGGACAGGGCTGTGGGAAGACGCTAGTGTTTGCCGCTGAAGCGCGCCGTTTCCCCAACGCGGTGTTAGGGCTGCAGGATGGCTGCTGGGGAGCGACTTCCTGCATGCTGCACTTGGCAGCCCCAGTGGTGCCCCAGGGCCTGGGACGGTGTCTGAGCCCCGCTTGGCCCCTGGCCTGCTGAGGGCTGCTCTGGGCAAAGAAAGGTACTTCCTGTGCCTTGGTTTTCTCACTGGCAAAACAAGAGGTTGTAATGCTCGTCCCGCTCGCAAAACTCCTTAGGATCTCTGATGCAAGGCGCTGCAGAGGAATATTCCTGCCAATGTCACAAATCTTGCTGATTTCGGGAAAGTCTGTGGTAAGATTTTGGCATGCTGGGGATTAAGCCACCTTTGTGGGTGGCACAAGCACCTTGTTTTAGGATGCTACTGTTGCTAATTTAATGATTGATACTACCAAACAACGGTAACTTGACTGGCCTGTGGTGCTGGGGTGAAAGGGAACTTGTTTTTTTTTTTTTCTGGTGATCCTGCTTTTACCATTGTATTCCTTACTTGCAACCCCCTCCTTTTCCTTCTCCCCTTGACATTGAAGCCGATCAGTCTGTTTTATTCTCCCTAATATTCAAGTAGTCTAAGAACAAATATTTCCATCTAATAGCTGTTGAAAACGTAAACATCTATTTGCATCTGGCGTAAATTATTGCCAGGCCCATTTAGGCTGTGGATTACTCCCAGCAGTCTGCCCACAGGAAGACATCTGAGAGCCCAGCTGGTGCTGTTTACTACGGCCGAACAACGCTTTCCAAACACGAGGCTGTCGCGAGCAGACAGGTCTCCTTCCCTTCCCAATGCTCTGCTGGATCTTGTTGGCCGCGTTAAGAACATTTCTTAGTGTTTCTTTTCCGTATCAGCTGAGCAGAGTTGCTGGAGTGAGCTGGGGCCATCTGTTCTGAGGCTGAAAAGGAAGAGCACAGCCTGCTGTCAGCTCTCTTACGCCCTTCGCAAATCGGCAGTGTGACATGGAGGACTTAGCAAGGAGTCTCACGCTGAACTGCAGTCTGTCATGATTAAACCCGGTCTGCCCTACTTGGCATACTGGTTCAAGATGTTGCCGTTTAGTGGAGAGCGCTCTACTAATATGAGCTCAGCTTTTCCTGCCTCTCTGACCACGTCCTTCTCCTCGTTTTCAGGCAAGTCTGTCTGGATCCATAACATACTGGTTGGAAAATTAAGTTTCCTACGTAGCCAACACAGAGAAAGTCATGGAATCTCTGAACTGCTATCCTGACTACAGGGACTGCAAAACCTGCCAGGAAGTGTTGTGCGATAGTGGCTTTACTCGTAACAGGTTGTTTGTTGTAAGTATTAATTACCGCTACCTTGGCTGGACGTCACGGTTAAGAGGTAAACGCACTATTAAATCGTCAGCGGTAGGATACAAGCACAAATATGTTTTTAATGTGAAGTGAACAAGCAGATATGTTGTTTCCTGCTAAATTGGCACAGCTGCGTTCCAGGGGTAACTAAATGAGCTCTTTACTTTGCAGTTCTCCAAAGGTGTAGGTTTGACATTTCTGATCTCTGTTGTTCAGCCCCCGTGCTGAACACCGGCTGCTTCATGGCACTGCTTTCCCACCTGCAGGGTGTCCCCGCGTCCTCATCCTGTTCTGGGAGTCGCAGAGTTAGAGAGGAGAGAGGCAGCTCTATCATCCACTTCAAAGCCAGAGTATTTCTGACCCGCTCAATCCTCGTAGCTGTATCTGTGCCTGTGGCTGGACGTGCTAATAGAGACGTTATCTGGAGCGCAGCCATTGACCCAATCTTCTGATCTTGCAAGAGGACCAGAGAAATCAGCTGCGCTCATGCAGAATCTTACTAGTGTCCTTGAAGCCTCATGCAAGTGCAGGGCCCATCCGTATGGGCTGAATCCATAGATTGTTATCTTGGAACAAAGCATGCGTGCTGTGTGTTATTTAATCCAGCCATTGCTGAGTCAAAATATTGTGCAAAAAGCATGCTTAACAGTATACAACGCTGAAAGAACTTTAACTGTTGTTCTGCGTCCTTAAAGGATACTTAACCTTATTTTTTCAAACACAGAGCTGATATTCACGTTGTATGGACTCTAAAAGGATTCTGTAGTGAAAGACAAATCCAGTTAAAATGGATTTGAATGGGGCGGAGGGGAAGCATTACCTTCCTTTTTCCCCATACACATAAATGGAGAGCAAGCTTCTTATTTCTTAAAAGGGAAAGCAGGGTTTAGTTGGAAACACTTCCAGTTTCAGTCAGTTGGATCTTTTTCATTTGCTTGTTGAAGACTCTCGGCAGTTCTTACCCACAAGGGCTGGGTTTTGGTAAAGAACATAAAGGCGAACCGATGTTGATGCTGTTTGTAAGACAGGCCAGGGTCATGCACTATTCAAAAAGCTATTATAAATAAAATTGGTTAACCATGGGCTCTTCCCATGCAAGGTGTTTTCTTCGTGGGCTTTTGCCACTGTTGGTGCCTGCTGGGCCCTCTCCTAGGACGCGTTGTGCAGGCAGTCTGCCCACCAGGCAGGTCGTTGTATTTTCACCAACACCACTGCGGTTAAGGAGAGATTCTTACCCCATTTCTCTTCACTCTGTATGTGGTTTTAAGAGAGACTCCTGATCTAGAGAAATTCATTTTTCCCCTACCAGGAACACAAGAAGCCGCTGTCAAAACAATCAGTTGTGTATTCCAGATGAACTTATGTAATTATCAAAAGCAGAACAACTGTTCAGACAAATGTAGCTCGCATTAAAATCTTATACAATTCTCCCTCCATTACCTTGTTTAGAAATGAAAAGGGGTTAGGGTAGAGAATGCTTTGTTTTCTTTTTCTTTTGAAACATCCTTATTTGGCATCTGTAAAGCATTTACATTCCCTAGTTCTGGATCAAAGTCCTTTCATGGCTCATGTTACTTATTTCCTTCTTTAACTGAAGCACAGAAAGAAAAATGGATTTTTTCCTCCCTCAGGCTTACAGTACGAACCATTGTAAAAAAGTAAACCTGAGTTTTAGCCAGGAAGTAGCAAGAATGAGGAATAAACCCATTTCAGTGTATAATTTGAAGCACTGTATACAGACACACACACACACACACACACGTGTGCACACACTTCCAGAATGAATGCTGCCCATAAATTAAAGCATCTATATATTAAATTAAAGCATCTATATAAATTAAAGCATCTATATATAAAAGCAGTTGTGAAGTATATAAAACAAAACTTTGTCAAGCTAAACTTAGATACCGTGCTGCTGGATTTAATTTGTTCTTCATGTTCCAAAAGTGTCTTCTTCCGAGTGGGAACTTTGTCCTGTGCAGCTCACACCATTAGCCAAGGACTGGGATACAAACTGCGGTTGGACCAGGCTAGCAGTATTAGAAGCAAAATGTTGTTTTCTCTTACTGAGTGGCAAGATGAAACCTGGGTTTGGCAGAATGCTTTCTTGATAGAAGAAGAAACTCCTGTGAGTCTGATACAACACATGATCTTTTTAAAGATTATATACTTGTTTCTGAATGCAGAACAAACTGTTTCCAGGTCTGCTCCTCCCACTGCTCAGCATATTCAGATACTTTAATTGATTTACTTCACAGTCCTCCTTTCTGCAAGGTCCTAGTGTATCATTCCCTTTCTATAAGGGGATATATAGTGCAGCGTGTGTTTTTATATTTAACCACAAAGCAACATGGACTACAGTCTGTTAGGCTGATTTATGTGTTTGCATTAGCTTTCATCCAGCAGATCTGAATTTAATCCAGACTTCCAGCATTCCTCCAAAAATAACGTTACTGACATCCGTTGTCATATTGTTCTCCCCACAAAGCTCTTGGCCACATAACTTCTGACAGAAGGGAGAAAGAAACCCCTCCCTTTGGATTATGAGTTAAACCCTAACATCAAAGAGGAAACTACTGCAGTGCTGTTCTCTCCTTGGTGTCGACTTCATGTCACTATATGCTTCCCCACCCCTTTTAGTGAAATGCAACTTTAGGGATAGCATTTCTTGTTTTTGTGTGACTTGAAGCATGAAATCTGGAGCTGGCTTTTGGACAGTTCTGGAGTGGAGTTTTGCTAGTAGAACAGATCCAGATATAACCTGGTTCTTAGAGCTGGGATTAGACTTGCTAGGTCCTGGCAGAGGCTCAGCAACGGGCCCTCTCTTCCTCTCCGCCCATTGAGGATGGACTGATGTGGAGTCTTACCGAACTTAGCTTGTGGGTTGCTCTTTGCTTCCATGACTGGTGTTAGACAACTGACCTGGCTGTTTCTTCCTAGAATTAATTCTGTTTTGGCTGATAGTTTTTACATTACTGGAATGCATCCATTGGCGTCCCACTGGCTGTATCTAGTACTGGGCAGAAATGAATACTGCACATGCTGAGAAGCGAAAAGACCAATTGTCTTACCTTTAAAATAATAATAATGTTCTGACGTGACTGTGATTAGAAGTTCAGATTTTAAGTTTAATGCAAGACTTCAGTGGATTTGGTCTTCAGGACAGAAGTAAGAAACAGACCCCGAAGCTAGGGATTACAAATAACTAATTGCTGTAGGACATGTTATTTAGGTGAAATGAAGGGTGGCTGGTGTGGTGTTTCTAATTGCCCAGGAGTGTCCATTTGAAGTCTATCAATGACATCCTTCTGTGAGTGTGAATTATTAGATACATTAACTTGCACAATTACCTGATATTGCACTCAGAGGGGTACACGGGATCCTTCAGTGTAACAGGAAGGACTCCTGTGGAGTCCATTTGCTAAGTTCTTGAAAGGTCAGACATACTTTAAAATGTAAGTCAGTGAACAATATGGATTTAAATTTAAAAAAAATACTTCAAAGATAGTGGATCGCTTCCAACCATAATTACTGGAAGATGCTGCTTTTAAAGTCCAAACACTGCTGCCCTCCCTGAGTTGCAAGGAGAAAAAAAAGAGGGATTTGAGCACTTTATATTCATATATACTTATACTATGCATGCGGAAGCCCTACAAGTACTTCTCTCTTGTTTTTATCTCCTCTTCATGTTTTCCCTAGAAGATTCCACTAGTGATTAATGACACAGGAGATTTAAGACCTTGCATATACCCATAAATGGAAAGGGGCTGAGAAGAGAAAATTAAATATTGAGCTTTCCCTTCCCTGACTTGTTTTTGCTCACTCTTTTTTAACTCCAGTACCTTAGAAACAGTTGGTATATAGAGTCTCTGTTTCAGTACAGAGAGCAGACTCCACAGCCAGGCCAGCAGCTGTATGAGAGTGGGAGGAAGTGTCCAGTGTTCTTGTTCTTAAGGGAAACTTCGAGCAGAACCAGAAGACTTGGTATTTCACAGGAGGAAAGCACAAGAGAGAAAATAAAACCCTGAAACAGGAAAAGAACCCAAATCTTTCTAGCCGCCTTCATGAAATACAAGCAGCAAAAAAAATAAATCATAGGCTTTTTTTCACTTGTTCTGTCCTCTTTGCTTCATGTGCAACCTTGTCCAAAGCCTGTGAAAATCAACGTTTTTCTGCTGACATATTTGATTTATAAATCAAGCATGGGACTGTGTGACAAACGGCTGAAAATTTTGTTGCAGTCTCTTGTGTGGGATCTGTGGTTCGCCTGGGCCACTGACACATTACTCCAAGAACAGATGGGGTAGTTCTGTTGCCACTGCTGTCAGTGAAATCCTCATTTTTTAGATAAGAGAAGATTCTGCTGTGCCCTGCTCTTTTCTCCTCTGTGTCCTTATCTGTGGATTGATTCATTTTGTTTCCACTTTTTTTTTGTATGTAAATATTAAACAAGTAGATCTAGGGAAAAAAATTTAACTTTATGAGGTAGTAGGAAGAAAGCTCCCTTAGGAAAAAATAATAAAATAAATACCGCCTTGTGAAAATAAAGCATACCAAAACAAAAGGGAGAAGGCTTCAAGAGGGTAATGACAGCCAGCTTGCAGTATCTTGAGGGGCTCCACCGCTGCCCCCACGCTCTGCAGCAGTGCAGAGGGGGAGATGGTGACAGCAGTAATTACTTACTGTCCCTGCTGTTCTGCTTGCCCACTCTTCTACTGTGGCTCTTTTTTCTTTTTGGGTTTTTTTTTTTGTTTTTTAAATGCTGAACAGAAGTGTTTGCCCTCCTATTTCAAATCCACGCAGCCCTGGATGATTTTGCTTGTTTCTACCGGTGCAGTCTCATAATGATGCTTATGCATCACTCTTCTTTAATATGACTCCCACTGAGTCTGTAAGGTCGAAGAAAGCACAGTAGGTTGTATCTGTGCTGCTACTAATGGGTAGGCAACAGCTAGAGACCAGGAAGGCACTCTTGACTTTTGAAGCCATCAGAAAGGGTTAGAGATGACAGATGTCTCTTCTGCCATCAGGCCTGTCTTTCATCCACGCTCAACAGTGGCGAATAAACATGGGCCGAGTGTATTTACTTTAGCTTTTTCTTCACAAGACAGGAGCCAAAAATACATCTAGGAGCAATTGCACCCTCCATCTGTGAGTGATCACCCTGCTTAGGTACAGCAGCAGGCCTGACTTTGGAGAGTGAAAAGGAGCAGAGCTCTGTCCTGCCTCTGCTCCCTGTGCAGCAAAGCAGGGTGGTGGTGCAGACCTGCACCATCTGGCTCTGCTGAGCTGCGGAAACATCAGCCTACCATAGCGATCTGCCTGTCTAAGATGTAGAAGCGCATGTGGGGATCCAGGAGATGATTTGCAGATGAATGTGCGTTGCTGCAGGAGGCACGGTCACGTAGAGGGAACTGACTGTGTTCCTGGGCTTGTTCTCTTCACCTGTTTCCCACCGGTGTCCTGTTTGGCTGTGGCATTTAAGAACAGTGCAAACAGTTATTACAGCGAGGTTGCTTTCTTTTCCTCTGGTACAGCTCCCAGATGTCGTATTCCTGGTTCTGCCCAGAAATAACAATGCTGAGTCTGTGACAGCAGTGATTGATGCTCATAGCTACAGTCAGTGACCTTTACCTGAGGTCCTTCACCCAGCAGTGTCCGAGTGTCTCACCTGGCAAGGTAGGAGAGATCCCTCTTACAAACGAGAAGCTGAGAAACAGGTAAGGTCACTCACCTGGGATCACATAAGAACATGGTGGCAAAAAAAAAGAACTGAGGCTGAGTCTCCTAAGTCAGTGCCCAAACCAAGACTTGCACTACTACGCCAGGTGCAAGTGGTATGTGAGATCTTAATAAAGGACAGATCATTTAAGATGATGCTCAAATTCTGTTGAAGTCACGTGCTTAAATCTAAGCGTTCCTAAGAGTTTTACTGAGTACAAGTGGCGATAAGTACATTAAGTGCTTTCCTGAAACAAAATCAGAACGAGGAAGTGGCTAGCTGCGCGCACATGACTGCTGATAGCAAATGGCCTTCATGCAATTTCCAAAGGAACTGGAGGAACTGTCTTTCTAATTAAAAACAAAGAAACAAACAAACAGAGGCCGCTGAGAGCAGGCCAGTATCCTATACCGACCTATTTTACTGTGGCTGGAAGATCAAGAAGTCTCAGTATGGGCAACTGCAAAATAATTAGGGTAATTTATTTCCTACTTACTGTTGGTCAGAAACTGCCTAAATGCTAAAGTTCAAGGCTTCATATTCCTATTTGACTTGTTAAAATTTATAATGGAGAGGGTGTTTGTTTCTCAGAGCAGTCTGACTGGATTCACAGTATCCTATTAGGACTGAGCACAGCTTGGCAAGGAGCAAAAGCACCATCCATCCTGACTGGGTTTCTTTCAGCTCCCCTGTCAGGGGCCCAGTGTGGCCTGGGGGCTTTCTCCTCTGCCAAATGCAGTTTTAATCCAAGATCACAGTATCTGACAAGCTCCAGCATATTCCCATTAAGGTTGCTGCACACCTGTTTTGATGACACTTGTTAAGTGAGTGAGTACAGAAAAGCAACGTAATGCTATAGGTTTAAGAGTGGCAGAGATGACCGTTCCTTGAAAAATTAGCCCTGGATTGTAATGCCCTTTTGCCCAACCCTTTCTTCACAGAAAAAGCAGATGAGCACTTTTTAGCATGCTGCATCATTTCACACATATGAAATTACTGTTATCTACCGGTCACGACTAAGAGGTAGGCCAGTAAAACACCTCAGGAGGGAGGAAAAAAGAGCTGATTCTGCGTGACAGGTCATTTAGTTGCTTATGATATTTTGTGAACAGGAGAGGAGGAGATCACCTGGACATCGTTTCCAGTTTGTACTTTCAGAGGAATCTTAGAAACTTTTACTGTAAGGAATTAAGTTTTGTAAACACGAGTTCGTTACCCCTCTATGCGTAGACATGAGCGTCATCCTTGTGTTTTTCTGTTTTTGGTCCTCTTCCTGTCCAATGGCTAGAAAACTACTGGGATTCTTAACAAGATCCAGTGACATCTCTAACTTCTGTGCGTTGAAAGCATCCACACATTTACTCTCAGAAACAGCTCAAAACCTCAAAGGCTTGCTACACTCTGCACTACAGCCTTCTAGTCCTCCTGTTACAGTACTGAATAACAACACGGTTTCCTGCCTGTGGGTTGTCCTGATGTCTCCGTTGCAGATCTTATCACAACTAGTCGCATTTTTGATGCCTTTGAACGGCATGGCCTGGGACTAAGTTTGAAGTTTGCTCAGAAACTACTGCTGATGCGGAGGAGAGCTCCTGGATGAGGCCAGCCACTGACGGCGGCCCCTCTCCAGGCTACCTGCTGTGCTGACTTCGAAGGGATTAGCATTGACTAGGCCTTAACTGCCAGGTTGTCGAGACTTCTTTGGCTCCAGCAAACCACCTGGAGCAAAATCTGTCCCAAGTGTGGAGCTGGTGTTCTCAAAACGCTAATTCTAGTCTCTTCTCATTCCCAGTATGTTGTAAGACACATCCGTTTGTCTTGGCTTTTTATGAACTCTGATGATCCGGGTCAACACCGGATTCTGTGACGTTTAGCCCGATGGCTGTGCTTTCTTGTCTTTCGGTCTTGAACGATGTTGGTGCTGCCGAGAGGGCTGAAACGGGGATGTGGCTTGGGTATGTATTGTTCTATCTTCCTAGTCAATGTAGCCATCAAACGTGTGTCCAGACCTGTCTTTGTGAGTAACAGTTGTAGCGCTGTAACTAATCTTTGCAGTTCATGCAAACAGCATTTTAAATGGATCGTGTAAATATAAATATAAGGCCTTTAAAGTGAATGCTGCCCTGTCAGTATGGTACGCCAGCACTTTCCGCTGCACCGCGTGCCTGAGAGGGACCTTTCCAAGAGCTGACATCTTACACAGATGCCATCTTACTACAGCAGACCTAGCTTAGGAAAGAGGGGCTGGTACTAGACTGCGCTGGTTGGGAGCAGAAAACTTGGGAAAAGTGTTTTAAAACTATCGTGCATCTAGCCCAATTACCTAGCTCCGAATAACCGGGCTCTTCCCGTCAGCTGATTTCTATTCAGGTGGCATACATCGGCTTAACCCCCCCCCGGATGGGACGGTTGTTCGTTAAGAGACTGATGCACGTTAACCAAGTCTGCCTGTGGAGCCCCTTTCGAAATAGACGTAGTCAAGAGGGGTGCTTGCAAGGCGCACGCTATTTTTAACCCCCGTTTGTAATAACGCCTCAGAAGCCTGAAACTAACATCTGTCTCCTGCTCGCCTTGGTTTTCTGCTAGAGGGGCCGCCTGCCTTGTTTGAACTGGGAAGGGTTACCCCCGTCCGTGAGCCAGGGTCAAAGCGGCGTGGGCTGGCGTGGGGCCAACCTGAAACCCTCTTCCCTGCGGCCAGGCAG